CAGAACTGTACATTTTAAAATGGTAAATTTTGTTATATATATTTTATCACAATTAAAAAATAAATGTATATTTTAAAAACTACACACACAAGTAGAGCCACTCAGTTTGTAATCCAGAGCCTTAGCATCCTGGAGGGTGTTAGAAGATGCCCAAGGAGACCAGTTTCCTAGAAGAGTGGCAGTGGGTACTGGTGGGCGAGCTGTCCAGAGACTCTGAGTGACAGACCAGAGAGGGGGCTGATTATTGTCACATGGCAGAAACATTCCACTTTCAGCATTGCTTCATAGCTTCATTTTCCAGTCACTAGTTAGATCCTCAGCATTCCTTAGAGACTTCAGTGCTACTGTCGTAAACACGATAAATTCTCCAAGGAGAAAGGTCCTGCAAGGAGCAGGACAGTCTCCAGAAACAGAAGTAATAGACATTTTCTGTTTCACAGACAGGAAGGGTTGTAGGAATTGAGAGAGAAGTGGTCAGATCTCAGGGGAGCACAAAGGGATGAAGAGCAGTGACTTGACTTCCCCTACTGGGGAGTGCAGACCGAACAAGTCTGACAGGGTGGGACCCCTGGTTTCAGACCTCAGATGAAACTGCTGCGCATCCTCTAATCCCTAGGTATGCTGAGCCTGGCCATAGTCTAAAATAACTGTCTCTCACATGTATGGCTTTTTAAAATTTCTGCAGATTGTTGAAATTAATGACATGCAAATTTATTTTGAAAAATACAGAATTCATAGGAGCTTTTGATCAGGCTGAATCAGGGTACTATAATTGCCAGCATGTGTAATTCCCAGCATTACATTTTTCTTTACCATGGAAAGGAGCACTCAGAAAATGTGAGAATCGCAGGGCTAGATATGTGCACTCTGATGTTGGCTACTATCAGATTGTCCATCACTCAAAATGAGAACATCATGAATGTTTTTACAATCTTAGCAATCAACTTCATCTGTTGGTGAGACCTGGTAAATACTGTTCTTAGGCAGCTAAGCAAGGAATTCAGTGATCTGATTCATCCTACACCTTCATAATCATGGATCACCAAAACACATTTTGGTGGCACAGTGTAAAATCCTTAACCAATCCCACCTGCCAGTAGTTCAGCCCAACCCTACTGCCTACACATCCCCCCACCCCCATCAGCTCTCTTTGGACCCACATGTAGTTGAAAGTCAGTCCCATTTACTGCAGGTGTTTCTGGGCTGCCAGTCTGCCAACAGAGCCGTCTTTCTTGCGTCCTCTGAATATTTTGGAGGTAGACACTAAAACAACACCAATAAGAGCTTCCATGTGCCAAGAAGTGTACTAGGCATATCATGTGCTTGTTTTCTAGTCACAGAAGCTCAAGGAGGTATCTCAGAGTCAGAATGCAAGCCCGTCTGTGAGGTGCAAAGCCCTGGATAATACTCATTGATCATAATTTCAAGGGGCACCTGGGTGGCTCCGTCAGGAGAGCATGTGACTCTTGATCTTAGGATTGTGAGTTTGGGTATAGAGATTACTTAAAAAGAAATCATTTACTTAAAATAAAAATTCATAGAGGTGCCTGAATGGCTCCGTTGTTTAAGCATCTGACTCTTGATTTTGGCTCAGGTCATGATCTCAGGGTCATGAGATCTAGCCCCGAGTCAGGCTCAGCACTCAGCAGGGAGTCCGCTTAAGATTCTCTCCCTCTCCCTCTGCCCCTCCTCCCCCTGTACGTTCATGCTCTCTCTCTCTAAAGTAAATAAATCTTATTTAAAAATCATAATTTCCTATGCGTGTGGAGACTAAATGCTGAAGCAACTACTATTTGAGCTGAAGTAAAGGCATGACCCCGAACAGATGCTCTTACCGGACAAATTAAAACCTTTCAAACCTTCCATTTTTCCCAGTTAATGTATGCTGGCTGCCCACCACAGGCCAGTGTCTGCGATCTGGCTGGGGACTTTGGGGAAACCACCAAAGGCATGTGGCCAGAAATGGGGTGCAGCCAGGATTAAAGCAGCAAAGTCACCAAGTGGCAGTGCAAGGCTTCAGGCCAGAAGGCAGCCCTATGTTTAGGTATGTGACAGAGAAAAGACTCTCATCAAAGAACTTTTTTTTTTTTAATTTATTTGTTTGACACAGAGAGACACAGCGAGAGAGGGAACACAAGCAGGGGAAGTGGGAGAGGGAGAAGCAGGCTTCCCGCAGAACAGAGAGCCCGATGCGGGGCTCGATCCCAGGACCCTGTGATCATGACCTGAGCCGATGGCAGACGCTTAATGACTGAGCCACCCAGGCGCCCCTCATCAAAGACCTTTACTGTTATTCTCCCTGATAGTATTATTTAGCCTTGTGCACCCAGAGAACAGGCAGACTCAGTAATGTCATTTTGAAAGAGAAAGACACAGTTCATAGAGGCCTAGAACAAATGAATTTCTGTGACGAGGAAGAAGGGTTTGCAAACATTTAAACTAGAGTTCATTTTAAGGAGTATTTCGCATGTTTCTTTTTTGAGGAGACCATTCCATGACTAAATCAGTAGTAGCTATAGGTAAACAACAGTGAGTTTGAACTTGACATCTATCATATTTTGCGGCAGCTCCCCAAGAATAGCTGTCTTTTGTGATACCTCAAGTATAGGCTTTTCATCAATGAGTGGTTTCTTAACAAAAGAAATATAAAAAATCACCTAATTGTAGGAATTTGCCACTCCCCTCCCCACTGAGAGCCATCATCCTGTATTCAACATTGAGCCAAATAATTGGTACTCTAGCAGCTATATTTAAACCATGGTCAAGTATGTCAAGTGGCACGTTCTCACATTGATGTTAAGGAGACCCTTGGAAAATCCCCTTCTTGGGCAGGTACTGGGTTGGATAGTGTCTCCCCAAAATACTTATCTATCTGGAAGCTCAGAATGTGACCTTATTTGGAAATAGGGTCTTTCCAGTTGTAATTAATTAAGAAGAGATCATACTGGATTCAGCTGGGCCCTAAATCCAATCACTGGTGTCTTCATAAGAAGAGAGAGGACGCTCAGAGAAGAGAAGCCCAGGTAAAGACAGAGGCAGACATGAGTGTGACGCATCTACAAGCTAAGGATGTCCAGTGAACACCAGAAGCTAGGAGAAGAGCAAACAACACATTCTCCCTCAGAGCCTCTGGAAGGAACCAGCCCTACGGACACCTTGATTTTGGACTCTCAGCCTCCAGAACTGTGAGAGAACCAATTTCTGTTGTTTTAAGCTGCCTGGCCTGTGATAATTTGTATACCTCAGTATACAGGGCCAAAGATTTCCCCCACCTCCCATATGTTAGTTTTTCCTTTTATGAGGAAGCCGATGGAGTTGACAATTGTGTCTTTAGCTCTCAGGGAAAGTAAGTGCGGGCCTCAGTGGGCCTCATCCCAGAAAATAAGCTTTATATCATTAATGAGAAAGACGATGTATTGGTAAATTCCCTGCTGAAAAATTCTTCTGTGTTTAAAAATTATATTGGCTTCCTTTGCATATTTCTCTAAAAGAATGAGAACCCTGAGAGTCTCTCCTCAACCAGTGAAGGAGGGGTTGTGATCAGATGTCACTGTGGACCACACTTTCTGGCCTCAGTCTCCCCCACTTCTTACCCCACACACATACCAGTTGTTGGAACAGGGACATGGCTATCCCCACAGGTCTGGCTGTGGGCTGTGAGCCACAGGCAGAGCCCCTCATTGCCAAGGGACTGCTACCTCCCCCAGGCGTGGGAGCACTTGAGCAGTTGAAGACCCCACCTTGAGCAGAGGCCTGAAATGCCGCAGATCACATATAAATGCCACTCAGCTGGAGTGTCTGCCTGTCTCTTGGTGTCTTGCATTTTACATCTCATATCAATTTAAATCAAAATATTGTGGCCTGCCCTAAATGAGTCAGATTTAAAAATTGTGCAAACAACTGGGGGAGGGAGGCAAAGTGTTGCACACGTGACCTGGGTCACAAGCATACAGGGACTGGCAAGCCTGCAGGGGTGATAGATCAAGTAAATAATCCCCACTTTAGAGCTATAGAGCTCTTGGCTACAACCTTTACAATAGGACATAAAACAGTGTCTGCTGAGCCAATAATTTGGGCTTCTTTTTAATATGCCTACATGCCAAAAACAGACCAAAAAACAAACAAAACAACAATAAAAACCCACCATGTTGATTATCTAAAGACCCATAATCAGAATGCAAACTGGTACAGCCACTGTGGAAAACAGTATGGAGGTTCCTCAAAAAGTTAAAAATAGAACTCCCCTATGATCCAGTAAGCACACTACTGGGTATTTACCCCAAAAATACAAAAACACTAATTCAAAAGGATACATGCACTCCTGTTTATTGCAGCATTATTTACAATAGCCAAACTATGGAAGCAGCCCAAGTATTCATCAATAGATGAATGGATAAAGAAGATGTGGTATATATACAAATGAAATATTATTCAGCCATAAAAGAGAATGAAATCTTGCCATTTACAACAACATGGATGGAGTTAGAGTATAATGCTGAGCAAAATAAGTCAGAGAAAGACAAATTCCATATGATTTTATTCATATGTGGAATTTGAGAAACAAAACAAATGAGCAAAGGAAAAATAAAGAGAGACAAACCAAAAAACAAACTCTTAACTATAGAGAACAAACTGATGTTTCCCAGAGGGGAGTGGGTAGGGGGATGGATGAATTAGGTGATGGGGATTAATAGCACACTTATCATGATGAATGCTGAGTAATGTATAGAATTGTTGAATCACTATATGGTACACCTGAAAATTATAACACTGTATGTTAATGATACTGGAATTAAAATTAAAGATTTAATAAAAAAATAAAGACCCACAATCAAAATACTTAACTCTGGGCTGAGAACAAAAAGGTACATTATTGATGATTGGTGAGCCTTTGCATTCAATAACTTAAACAGGTTTCATTTCCTTGGATCAAAATTTTCTGCCCTAGAGAAACAGATGCCAATTTCCTCTGCCTTGTCTTCCTCTCCCCCCAGGTTGGTTGACAATTTCTGTATCTGTGAAGGGTACAGTGTGCCTCGCTGCCTGATGTATGAGATTTATGTGGAAAGCTGTGGCCAAAATGCTCAGGACCAAGTCAACCCAGCCACATTTGGGAAGGTTGGTTGTGAAGATAAAAATACAGTGCTCACTGAGTAAAAAAAAAAAAAAAAAAAATACGCAAGTGAATTGATGAGGAAATACTAAAATTTATTTGGGTCTAATGGGTTCTCAGTGGGAATAATTGGCTTCACTCTGGGAAGCCAACCAGATGGCTAATATAGTCCTCCATCTTCCTCGAAAATCCATTCTGTCCTTTGTCCACACTTCATAATGAGGGGCCAGGAAAGGTAAGGAATGGGTGGTGTCTAAGAAAGTACAACTGGGCAGCTCCAAATATTCTAAAAACTCAGCCAGGTTTGCTGGGCCATTATTCCCTGCATAGAAATGCCAACACTTGGGGTGCATGGGTGGTGCAGTCGATTAAGTCTGACTTTTGATTTTGGCTCAGGTCGTGGTCTCAGGGTCGTGAGATCGAGTGCCATGTTGGGCTCCATGCTCAGTGGGGAGTCTGCTCCAGATTCTCTCTCCCTGTCCCTCTGCCCCTCCTGCTCAAGCGCGCTCTCTCTCAAATAAGTCTTCAAACAAAAATGCCAACATGTAGCACCACACAAACTCCAAGAGCCACTTGAGGTGTCAGAGAGCTGGTGCTTCCTACAATTTGGTTGTACTTAGAGAATTCACTGGCTCTTAAATATCTCCTCTGGAGGTTAAGAACTCTGTCAGAAACTTCGTGTAGACCATATAAGATACAGCAAACACTTTTTTTTTAAAGATTTTATTTATTTATTTGACAGAGAGACACAGCGAGAGAGGGAACACAAGTAGGGGGAATGGGAGAGGGAGAAGCGGCTTCCCGCTGAGCAGGGAGCCCAACGCAGGGCTCAATCCCAGGACCCTGGGATCATGACCTGAGCCGAAGGCAGACGCTAATGACTGAGCCACCCAGGTGCTCCCAGCAAACACTTACTAGCACAAGAATAGTCTGCTGAGATCCTCCACATACAACAAATATTTATTGAGCAGCTGCTATGTCAGGCACTGTTTTAGATGCTGGGAATACAATAATGAGCAAGACAGAAAAATTCCTGCACTTACTAAATTTATTATAGTTGAAGGAGACTGATACATAAGATAAAATACATAGTATATGAGATAGTATAAATGCTAAGGGGAATAATCGAGCAGGAGATAAGGGGTGTGTGTGTGTGTAAGAGTTGTAATTTTAGGGAAGGCCTCCCTCAGAAGTAACATTTGAGTCCACAGTGATAGGCAGTGAGTACGTGGATATGAACAAAGAACAGTGTAGGCAGAGCCAGTGCAAAGACCCTGAGGGACAAAGGAGCACAAGCAGCAAGGAGGCTGCAACAGCTGGAGAGAGGAGAACAGGGAGAGAGGACCAGGATGATCCTCAGGACCTTGAGGTCAAATCAGGGAGGCGAGAGGAGCCAGGTGTGCAGAGAGTGGGCAGGGATTCAGCAGTGAGAAGAGGTCAAATTCTGGGTATATTTGGGAAACCGAGCCAGTAGGATTTGTTGATGGAAATAATTAATAGAATCATAGGACTTAATCATTATTAAGTTAATAATAACTTCCAATCATAGAGTTGTATTTATTTTTAAGGCACTTTTCCATCTGTTTTTTTTTAAGATTTTATTTGAGAGACAGAATGAGCGAGGGAGAGAGAGAGCATGAGAGGGGGAGGGTCAGAGGGAGAAGCAAACTCCCCGCTGAGCAGGGAGCCTGATACAGGACTCGATCCCAGGACTCCAGGATCATGACCTGAGCCGAAGGCAGTCGCTTAACCAACTGAGCCACCCAGGTGCCCTCCATCTGGTTTTTAGGAATAGATAGACACCAACTCAAAACAAGTTAAAAGGAGAATTTTTAAAGGGGAAAATGATATCTCATTAAATCCTATTATAAAAAGTTTGGGCTTCATAGAGTCTAGTCCTTTGCTGCCTAATAGAAATGCAATGGGAGCCACAGATATAATTTAAAATATCCTAGTATCCTCATTTTTGAAGTATTTTAAAAGATGAAAATTTTTATTATTTTGAAATTTAATCCAAAATATTCAAAATATTATTTCAACATGGAATCGATATTATAAAATCATTGAGTTACTTTTTCATTCTTTTGTTCATGCCAAACCTCAAAAATCTGGTGTGTACCTTACATGTAGAGTCCATCTCAGCTTGGACTAGCCACAATTCAAGTGTGCAGTAGCCATATGTGGCTGGTGGTTCCCATTTCAGATAGGCCACAACTAGAATCTAAGTCACCAGGCATCTCTTTTCTTTCCCTCTGGTATATCCCTAAACCAGTGGGACTCTGCTGCTCTCCACTGGCCTGCTCCTTGCCCCTTCCCGGAAGCCAACTGCCTTCACTGGCTTCCTGATTTCCCATTATGGCTGCTTGGATGGTGTTTCCCATGATGCTATACCTGACCTTCTGCCCCAGTGCCTGATACTGTTAACAGTCTGTGGGCAAGGGCGGCCTGCAGGAAAGACATGTGGGTGAAGAGGAAACAGTTGGCATCTTTAATGCTTTGTCTTGTGTCACAGCCATTGGCTGAAGCAGGTAGCATTTGAAGTCAAGAAAACAAACCAGCAGTGATTAAGGCTGAGGATCACACAGCTATTTGTAATGTATGGGTGGTGTTTTGGGGGAAAAACATTTTCCTCTACTGTTTCAGATTCTTTTGGTTGGTCTAAGATTTAAATTGACAAGAGACAAATTAACAAATTTAACTATGTATGTGTGGGGGCTCACTATGGCCCGCCTGGCAGTCAGGCAATTGAGACTTATATGCCATCCAGACCCAAGAAGAGTGTAGGAAAGTGGGACTTCAAAAGGGAAGGCATGCAATTCATAAGAAGATGAAAAAGAGTAAATGTTTGGTAAACAAATGTTAGATGGACCATACAGAAACAATAAGAAGAATTTTAACAAACAGATTTTGCTAAATTCCTCATCTTCCACATCTCTTTCATATTATACTGTAGTTATCTACAGTGATACCTCAATTAGAGGATATCAAGTCCTCTAAATTCTTTTAGGCAATTAGGGGAAAGGTCAAAGGTTCTTCCTGAGCCTTCTCTTTCTTAAAAATAATCAGCCTAAAATAATCCACTTACCAAAGAGATACATTTTCCGGTGGTAGAATTTGCTTCCCTATAGTGTCCAATCCAGTCTCCTGAATTGTGAATCAGACCTCTTTCTACTTGTTATTCCCTCAAAAATATCCTTGAGTTCCAAGAGACCTTGGAGGTCACCTAGTCCAATTCAATACCCAGTGCAAGATTCCTCTGAAAACATCTCTGGCTAGAGCTTTTATGAGAACAAAGTGCCCTCTCTGGACAAAGACAGTCACAAGCCTTAGAGGTGAGTAATGGGGCAGCAGCACACTTCTGTGCTCTTCCTCTGGGCAAACCTAGTTCTGCTCCAGGGTCTTGCGTGGCATATAGAGCACAGGCTGATGAAAACCTGCTTGACTCCTCATCAGGGACCTTGGTGCAGCACACAACCTGCACAACCATACCGTGTTGGGTAGCCACCTGGCTTAGGCTGAAATGATGTGGGTGACAAGGAGCTTGCTGACCAGGCCACAGTGATGCCAATTCAGTATTTTCCATCCCTCCCTTCCGTCTTTCCTTTTTTTGTGCCTTCTCCCTCTTTTCAGTGGCCCTCAGATGGACAGAACTGAATTGGTTCATGACACGCTGTCACCGTGGGTTTATGCATGGCCTAATTCCATCTGGGTATTTAGTTCTTTTTAACAATGTGGTAAACATCTGTGAACCCACCACCCCAAATGAACCATCGCACCAGATGCCCCATATCCCATCTCCCTGCCCTGCCCCACTGGTGGGAACCATCAACCTGTTCATCATTACCTTGCTTTTTAAAAAAGAGTTTTAGTGCATTTATGTGTATTTTTTAATCTTTTGACCACCTTTACCCCTTTTGCCCACTCCCCTGCCCCTTGCTCTGTCAACCACCAACCTGTTTTCTGTATCTGTTTGTTTTGTTTTTGTTTTTTAGGTTCACATGTAAGCGAGATCATATGGTATTTGGCTTTCTTTGTCTAACCTATTACATATATGTATTTCTAAAAAGCACAAAAATTTTTAATTTTTGTGGCTTAACTTTTTAAGATTTTACTTATTTGTCAGAGAGTGAGCACAAACGGGAGTGACAGGGAGAGGGAGAAGCAGGCTCCCTGCTGAGCAAGGAGCCCGATGTGGGACTCAATCCCAGGACCCTGGGATCATAACCTGAGCTGAAGGCGGTGGCTTAACCAACTGAGCCACCCAGGCATCCCTGTGGCCTAACTTTTTAAAAAGGGGTATCATGTTATTTGTCTTTGTCCACTTAAAATTGTACTAAGATTCATCTAGATTCATTTGACCAATCTGTAATATTTCACAATTTACTCACCTGCTGTCCTACTGCTGGGCATTTGAGTTGTTTCCAGATTCTGCTGTTGTGAATATTCACGTGCATATTTCCTGCTGTGCACATGAAGATGCTTTTTTAGGCATGTATGTCCAGGGATGAACCTTGCAGGCTAAGGGGGTGTGCAACTATGATATCTGGGGATGGGGCCAAACTATTTTCCAAAGTGGCTGCTCCAGGTTACCCTCCCACAAGCAATTCTGCGGATTCCAATGTTGTTTCCAAAACATTGATATTTTAAGATCCACTCCTCTAGCCAAAATCTTCATCCCTGAAACAGAGTCATTGGTGGAAGTCCTGCACTTTCGATAATACTAAAATACGTAGGAGAATCTCCTAATATAGCAGCTGCTCAAATATTTGAACCAATTTTTTACATCTCCTTATCTTCCCTTCTCCACACTGAATATTCCTCGGCTCCCAAATTTTTACCTTCCTGCCCACTTGTTTCATTATGACTTCAATTTACTGATGTTCTTCCTAAAAGGTAGGTAGCCCCAAGGGTATAACCCAGTGCCTTAGGAGTGCTCAGATGACGGGCTCTTACTTTTATTGGGAGGGGGAAGGCTACTATTGGCTTTTATCCTTCTATGTTACTC